AACTTGTGCGCATTTAAATCAAATATATTCGGATCAAGCACTAGGCTGTACTATTAATTGTCGATTCGACATAGTTTATCCGAGTTAGCATACATATACATAAGCTGATAAAAATCAATCTCAGTCAGAACACAAATTACACATTAAACAGAGTATTTTCACAACTGTCAACATCACAATAAAAAAATTGAAAAAAAAAATTAAATACGAAGCTAAATAATTTCACATATGCTAGAAGACGAACAGGCTAGGGTTTCAAAAAAAATGGATGTACCTGAAGATTGTGGAGCTTGATGTAAGCCCAGATCTCTTTGAGCGCCTGAGTACGGGGAATCTCCGACATGCCGCCGAGGAACGCCTGCATTTCCGGCGACACAGGGCGCGGCTTCATTATACCTCTCGGCTCCCGCTTCTTCGTCTCCACAGCCGGCTTCGCCGCCGCTGCCGTAATCCTCACGGGGCGCACGTTAGCGGGGACGAGCTTAACGGCGAAGGGAGACGACGACGACTTCACGAACGACGCCGTTTCTCCTGCAAAGAAACACGAAGTCATGCGCAGAGACACCGCCATTTTTGTTTTTCCTGCAGCAGTGTGCGAGAATCTGTACTGGATTTGTGAGCTGGTTAGTGGATTTTAGAGAGAGAGAGAAGATAGAGAGAGAAGAGTGCTAAATGAGAAGATAAGGAAACAAAGTGTGGCAAAAGGGTTTTTCTGGTGGGCCGGCGAATGAAATTCAAATGGAGACCCGAACCCGCACCCGAACCCGAAACCGGGTGGGTCAAAACTTTTTCCGGGTTAGGTCTTTTCGGCCCACCCAAATCATAATTGGACTATTAGGAAAGCCCGATCTCAACAGTTATCACGTACAAAAATTATCCAGTCCAGTTGTTCCCAAGGTTAATTAATTAGACCAGCTTAGGAAGAGTTAATTATAACTAGTCCTTTACCCGTGCGATGCACGGGGTCGGATTCAAAGCGAAAGTTTTTTATTAAAAAAAAAAACTTTTTTATTAAAAAAACAAAAAGAAAAACCTATGTAATCTACTATCGCATTGAAACAAACCAAATTTAAGTAAATAGGAATATATTCAAGTTCATACAATTTTTCTTTTTCGAAAAAAAACAAAATATGATGGATTTGAAAGATTACTGTGTGCAATTCTTTCAAGCGAGCAAAATACTAAATTATAAATGGGGTTTGTATACATAGTTGATATGCAATTTGAATTGAGAAGTTATAAGAAGAAGTTTAGAGAAACTGATGAAGAGAAGTTACGGGAAAGAAAAAATTGTGAGAAGTTACGGATGCAGTTGGGGAGGAGGTGGGGTACAAACTTGTTTTATCTTTTGCAAAATAGTCCTAGGATTATAAAACAATTATAAAAACTGCCCTAGGGTTTTGAAACCCTAAAGCGCCACGTGTCAATATATTATGCCATGGATTGTCTTTTTATATATATATATAGATTATAATTTAAATGCTTAGGAAGGGTTAGTTATAGTTATAATTTAAATTTTCAAACTTCTTTTTGCTTGATTTAGGGGACATTTATATAATATACTGTTGTGTTTAAAAATAATGGTCGTTCGATAATTTGAAGGGTAAATATAATATTACGAGAAAGGGATTATTTCGTAGTTTAGCTTTACCTGTATGGGTTATGTAATTTACCAAACAATGCAAAAAAAAAAAAAAAATACATATTCACACGTGAATAATGAAACATCGATATAGTTAAATCTCTATAAATTAATAAAGGTGAAATCAGTCAAATTTTATTAATTTTATGAAATATTAATTTAATAATATATTTTTTAGCACCATATACTCTAGCTGCGATTGGGAAAACATATTTAAACATATTATTTAAATGAAATTATTAATTTATCGATTTTCTATTGTCGACACAAGTGCAGGAAATAATACATTTATAAAGAAATTTGAAAAATATATGCGTGTCTTTGTGAGGATTTATGGTACAATGAATATTGTCTGCGTCTCACAATTAATACACAATTATTAGTTTATTTACTTCTCTCTGACTTTCTCTACCGACAATTCACACACAAACAAATATATAATAATCTTTTTTTTTTTTTTAAGAAAATCTAAATTATATTAGTAATAGAACTGGTAATTAAGCTGAGCTTAACCGAAGCCCGATGGTTTAATCCAATTATATTTGAACAGATCATAATTATTAGTGAATCGGACATTAATTGAGCTAGTTTAATAAATTTGAAACATTGATGAGCCGAGTTTGAAACTACTATATCTCAAGTGCTCAACCTGAATAAGGTCCGTCCAATTAAATTAATAATTAAATATTTTGGAAACAGGTAATTGAGATTATGAATTTAAATAGTTGGACCGAAATGATTGTACTGAAGCAACTTAATTAATTGATTTTTTTCCATACCCTATGATTCGCACATGTTGGTAAGTTGTGTTTTAATTAAATATGAGATGCTGTAATATTCTTAAAAATACTTGAACTACCACGAGTTTGGTGGGACAAAAATAATAATAGCTAATGCATATGGGGTTACTTGAATTAGTAATCGATAAGAGAGGTCGTTTGAGTAACCTCATAAGTTGTTCAAAAGAACTTATAAGTCATTTTAAAGAATAGGGTAAAAGAATATTATAAATAAGCTGCTGGGGTACGAATAAGATTTGTTTTAAAAGTATTTCTAAACACACTTTTTAATTTAATAAAAATAATTTGAAGTATTAATTCTAAAAATAAGACGTAACAAACTTATTAGCTCTTAAAATAGCGTATCAAACTTGTTACTCGTACACAACAAACTCATCAGATTATTTATACTGAGCATATATTTAACATAACAATTTTATTTTTTAAATTTTGTTCTTTACGATTTTATCATAATAAGGATTAAAAGAAATAAAAAAAAATCTAAAAGTATTTATCTTATTCAAGACTCGCTGCATCTAACATTTTACTTTTCAAAGAAAAATGTTTGACTAGATACATTCAGTGAGTCAACGCGTTGAACAAGACTGAGTCGTCACTGAATCAGTCCCATACATGATTGATTGAACCACCATTCATCATCCATCATCATCAGTTCAGTTAGATTCCCACTTAAATAATAAAAATTATTATTATCTGATCTGATTTAATAACAAAAAAACAGAGCAATTTGAGGGTGCATAGTTATTACGGTATGGGCGTCCACATATTGCATGTATTCCTCTTTTAGAAGGCACTCACTATTCTTCTTTCTTTCCCAAGTCAAATGTGGATAGACAGACAGTTGGGACATGTTTTAAGTTTGGAAATCAGCTTTTAATCTAGTTCCTTCTTTTTATTTAATTTTTTTTATTATATATATTGATAAGGAACGTCAAATTTGATTCGAATTGCAAAATTATTACTTGATTCGGAGAAGAGTTATTTATGGGCATTGGTGGAAATATCGAAAGAAATTATGGAAAAATAAGGGTTTTCTACGAACTCAAATTGTATTTGAATACGAAACAAACTCTATTTCAAGTGAAACGGCGCAAGGAACAAAACTCACGAGCAAAGCTCATGCATGGATCACGTCAAATTTCAGCAATCCAACATCGTTTAGACTCATAAAAGTTCGTTTAATATCAAATCATAGAAAAATCGGATTAATATTCCGTAAATTTGGTTGTTCCCAAAATTACGAGATCTACTAGAATCAGTTTTTGCCGTTTTTGGTAATTTTTAGTATTTTCTTAGTTTAATTAGAGTTTTTCAGTTTTTTTGTATAAATAGCTGCCTTAGGACTTTATTTTGAGAAGAATTTCAAATTTTAATAAAATATTTAGAGTTTTCTCTATTTTTCTGGTGGATTCCGAATGTTATCGTACGTGTTCTATAGGATTAATTCGTAGAAATTAATTCTTTACCGTGCTTCCGTTCTGCGTCATATATATATATATATTAAATTCATATAATCTTGCTAATTAGGGAGTCGTTCTTCGAATCCTAGACATTTACTCCAATAAAAAATATTTGCAAATATCGTAAAAAAACCAATTTTATAAGTTTCATATTGTATTTGCAGGAGCTTTTAGAAATAGATTATAAGCCTTTTTTTTGCTCGTAATATGTGTTTAGATACTTCCATAATCATTTTTTGCTTATAGTCTCTTAAAATAAGTTGTTTTAAGCCGTTAGTTTAAAAGCATCCACGAGCCTGCTTTTTCAAATGAAGTTAATTTTTAAGCGTATTTACAAACATCAACTTCTAGAAATAAGTACTTAACACAAACTTAACTAAGAATCACTTAAAAAGCTTACATATAATCATATTTTCAAAAGTTTTTGCAAACACCACCTCAATCCAGCACTTCAATTTCTTTTTACCAATTTCATATTTAATTAATATCTGCAAAATTATCAATCGAAATTCAAAATTGAATCTTTCGGTTTAATATTCGATAACGAATTTTTGTTATTACCGAAATTTCGAGACGATTTTACTAATAAACTCCTCTTGTTATCCATCCTTCAAGTTTAATATTTCATGGATTTTTTTTAAACAAAAGATGGGGACTAATTAATAATAGAAATTAATGCTTGTACCTGACACAAAATAAGACTAATAAATTAATAATATATACTTTCCCTTATCAATAGGGAACTTTGACCTTTCTTTCCCGCCATAATAACTACTAGGAACCTTCCTCACAAATTGCTGCCATATTTAATTGGATCAATTTGTGTCAAAAATTAAATTTACATAAATGCCTACTTGGGAGTAAATATTAAAAAAAAAAATACTAGTAGCCATATTGTTAAAAATAATACAATTTGTTATTTAAACACGTTTCAGATTTTAAGCTTATTGATCCAAATTTATAAAACAATTACGACTTTTAAAATTGTTTAAAAATTCCACGATTTATGAGAGTTGATACCTAACTCAAACTATCAGAGTAGATGTCTACACATCTCCTATTATCCCAATATGTAACAAAATCTGAATGAAAAAGAAATAATTAAATAAATTCAAAAAAAATATTAAATTTAAAAGTTGTTTTTTCCTTTTCTAAAAAGACTTCAATTTAAACGTTAATATGAAAGAAGAAGAAAAAAATGTGTAAATGTTAATGCACAATAAAATATGAATATAAATATTTCTGTTTTTAGTAATTTAGATTCCATTTGCATTGTAACAAAGATGACATTGTTGTTAGTATAGTATAGAATAGAGAGAGAGAGAGAGAGAGAGAGAGAGAGAGAGAGAGAATAATTAAAGATACGAAAGTCGTGGTTGTGGTGCAATGATGGTGTGGTGAAAAAACACGCTTTTGCCACAAAACGAGGCAGACTCTGCCGAATCCAGATGGTGTTGGTGGGTGTGGGAAACAGCCCAACTTCAACGCTCAGTCAACCAAAGGAATTCTCAAAAAAGATTTATTCCAAAAGTTGCAATGAAAGAAACGCAGCCAGCTGCATAATTAATTAATTATTTATTTATTTAATTTACTAAATAAATTTCAAACTAGTCTCAATGATGCAACATACACCTCATGATGACATCATCAGTCAATAGGAAAAATAAAAGGGGAAACTACAGATAAATCCCTAATCCAAAACTCAAAACACAGATCAGTCCCTAGGTAGTTTCCCCAAGCAA